AAATTTGATCTACAGCGACTACAGCGGTTCCGCTCAGTGCGACCTGATTTATAGAACAATTTAACGCTACTTTCGAAACGGCTGTCGCAAGTACAAGTCAATTTTTCTATTGACGATTTAAAAATCGGCATATTTATTTATTTTCCTTTCTTTTCCCTTCAAATTCAAACCTTTCTAAATGGGTGACTACAAAGATTACGTTTTCAAATTCATTTCATTTCAGCATTTTTTTTAGTAAGTCCTACTGCATTTTAATTGAATGCACAAAGTGGTCTCTTCATATCCATTGACCTCAGGAATGTAAGTGATCGTAGATTCAACACTGGAATTGATGCCCAAAACCATATTACTGATATTAAACGTATGCATATTATAAAATTGTTTCCTTTACACATATTATTTCAACCAAAAGAACAAATGCTGCTTACTTGTATTGCTATACAAGAGCATAGTAGATTTAATTTTTGAAAAGCCCATTTTTAATCGGTAGTCATTTGAGTCAGCAAACTCTTAGTTTTTGTAAATAAACCTTATCAAATACATTTTCAAAAGGTTCTATTTCGAAAATCGAAATAAGAGTTGCATGTTTAAGAGCTTGAATGATAAAACTGAGTATCCAATCCAGACGAACTTAAGCCTGAGAAAGAACGAGTTAGAGTTTTTTTCTGATTCACATTTTTTTTTAATTTTTCATTCCAGCACTCTTCATATAACTTTCATTTCAAAACACAAAATCGTCTCAAAAGCAGACATTTTTTTACATACACATTATTATCTATTGTATTATATTAGTATTAGTATGTATATATGTACATACATATTAATGTATATTTGAAATTCACATGAACTTTTTAGAACTAAAGTACGCATACGCCGGCTCCTAATGTATTTCTAGGTATCGCAGCTCTCCATTTGCATTCAGGAACGTAAGTGATCGTTGATTCAATGCTGGAATTGATTGTATTACTGATATTAAACTTATGGATGGGATAAAATTGTTTTCTCTATAAATATTATTTAAGCCAGAGAGCATAGTCGATTTAATGTTTGATAAACATTTTATTATCCATAGATAATCCTTGTCAAATGAATTTTCAAAAAGATAGATTTCGAAGTGAGAGTTTCCAATTTTACTTCAAATTGCACGTTCTTTTTATGCTTATGCGTAGCATATTTATTATTATTTTTATACGTATTGTCCAGAGTTCAAAGCCCATCATAAGTTTTATTGATAACTTTGGCTTATTTTCACTTTTTATCCAAACTCTGAAGATAATTCAAACATACTTAGAACCTAATCGAAAAATCGGGCCATTACGTTGGTTATTGAAAAAGCAGAAGATTGAGTTGCTTTTAGTGAAGTCCAGTTATGCATCCTTGGTACAGTGAAAATTTAGGTCAGACAGTCCCTATTTTTTTTAGCACATCTCTTCTTATTAAATATTATGATGGTTATTTACTCAATGGTCTGCATTATATTTGCCTTTCGCGCGTTTCTCTTTAGTAAATGATTTGTATTCCCTGTACCCTAAGGGTAAAACGGTATACCAGTTTAGTGTACAGTGTACATGTAACAGTCAGGTGTAGCAGGCTCCATAAAGTATATATATTCTCGATCAGCATGACTAGACCAGACGATATAGAAATGTCTGTCTGTACGTCCGTCACTCTGTAAGCACGCAAGGATCTCCGAAAGTATAAGAGTTAGAGCACTAAAATTCGCCTAAGTTTATCTTTTTTCACTGTACTTCACACATACACTTACAGAGACACGCATAGACACAATGGAAATGTAAATGTGTGCTATTGTAACTGGAAATAACATATTAAACATATAGCTCTATGTGTTGATAGTTTTATATTTAAAAAAATTGATTAAATTTTAAAAATAATTTAAAATTGTATGTAATTGTTTTCTTTAAAAAAAGTGGGTACAAGTTATATAAGAGTTGGGCCGGCTCAACTTTATGCTTCCATTCTTTTTTTATATTATTTTATTTATCATATAACAAAAGAAAGCTCGTTGAGAACTCAAATTTGTTTGTTCCTGAGTTTGACTCGGTTCGAATGACGGCGCTACCATGATTTCAAAATTACTTGCAGTTTTACAAATTCTGTAAGTGTGGTCATATCTAATTAATGTCAATCGGTCGGGCGATTACCCACCAAAAAAAAAAAACAAGATAGAAAGCTACAGTCGAGCAAGCCCGACAGTAAAATAGCCTTTACTCTCCACAAAAAAGAAACATTAAAAAAAAAATATATAAAAAAATTAAATTATTTAAAAAAAATTTAATTAATTTATTAAATTAATTAAGAAAATTGATTTAATACATACATAGAAGACATCTTTATGTACAGTTTTACATTTACATCACTTGTCTATGCTTCTTTATATACATACGTGTATATATAAGCAACAACAATAACAGCTGCGGGCAGCGCTGCAAGCAGAGCATGGTGAAACTTGGCATACGGACACATAAGCACTAACTGGAAAATTCCAAAAATTACGGGAGTTTTAAAAAAAACACGAATTGCGGGTGAGTGGGGGGTGTATCAGAGTAAAAAATAAACTTGGCCTGCCTAGGGCTTATGGGAACCTGGATACCAAGGTTGGTAATTCTAGCTCTTGTACCTTCTGAGATCCTTGCGCTCATACAGACGGACGGACAGACGGACATGGCTAAATCGACCCGGCTTGTCACCCTGATCAACAAGAGAGAACGCTACAGTCGAGCAAGCCCGACAGTGTAATACCCTGTACCCAGGTAAACTTCCGTCACTGAGTTATATGCGCTTAAAGCAGCAGCAAAAAGGGGAAGAAGAAGAGCGATCTTGTTGCTGCAGTTTGGGGGGGTTGTACTGGCCAGAATTTGTTTCGCTAATAACTTTTCTTAGAATTGACCGAATTAAATAAAATTTAAACCAAAAGTAGATAATTATATTATATAGATCAGTATATAGATTGCGTGTGCAAAGTTTGGCTTATGTAGCTTTTGAAATGTGGACAGTATTGACGAAATTCTGTAGAGGGGGAAGGGAGGGGAAATTACCAAAAATAAAATAAACTCGTCCTTTCTCGGACCTAGGAGAATCTGGATACCAACTTTGGTTATTCCAGTTTTTATAGACGGGCGGACAGACGGACGGACAGACGGACGGACATGTCTAAATCGATTTCTCTCGTCATGCTGATCAAGAATATATATACTTTATGGTGTCGGAGATGGTTCCTTCTGTATGTTACATACTTTGCACAAACCTAATATACCCTTTTTACCCTACGGGTACAGGGTATAAAAATATAAATACTTTGTGGGGTCTGTCACGCCTCCTTCTGGGTGTTACATACATTCGCACAAAACTATTATAGCCTTTCACCCATAAAAAAGATCTTAGATTTGTTAAATGTTAAACATACGCTTTCGTGCAATTTATTGGAATGATTTTGTCATGATGGCGTTGGGGAAAATGGACGAAGGTAATTTAAACTGTGTGAATTCACAGTCAAAAGATTTTCGGATTAAAAAAATATTTTCTATGGTCAGTATTTAGCTGTTATGTTTTATTATTTAATTTACAGAAAAAGTGTGTATTAAAATATATGCACATTACTGAGAGCTTTTGGTAATCTATTTAGCCGATGAACATTTTACATTTAAGTACGTTAATACTTGCGGGTTGATTTATATGTAAAAGCGCCAACGATTTAAATTGTATGTAACTACCCTGTATGCATTCGCAAACGTGTATAACAGTAGCAAAAAAAGGTATAACAGAAGATTTTGCTGCAGGTTTGGGGGCGTACCGACGAACATTATCGTAATATTCATTAGGATTTGGATGAAGCTGGATAAAGTAGAGACTTACATACAGATGTAATATGCCATATAGTATGTCAATCACAAATTAAGCAAAAACTTGTTGCTGTTGGTAAAGGATTCGTACGTACATACATATATACATATATGGATGCAACTTTCCCGACAAGCTAAAAGTTAGAAAAATCGTCGGGCTCGTTCACGAAGATTGAATATTTGTACACTAAACATATTTTATGTTCAGAGTTCTCAAAATGTCACTTCGATGTTTTTAATATTCGTGTTCGTATGTCAAATGTTAATTACACAAACAAAATCACTTCAAACTAAGCGTACATACACGTATGTATAGAAAGTATGGGTGCATTCTTATATACAAGCATACATACATACATATAGTATAATATGTATGTATGAATATACAGTCAAATGTAAGTAGGCATACTTATATATGTATGCATATATGTACATACATATGTGTAATGTCCAACAACAATTGCTACCAATAGCAACAGTTAAGCATCATCAATATATTGGTGTCTGGCAAGCATGCTGCTTTGAGTTTGAGAGGCGTAGCTAAAAAATGACGCATTGAGTGGCGTTTGTCAGAGGGAGAAAGAGCAATGATAGCAATATGTGGCGTATGTGCGATAAGGTCGGCTAATAAAAGGCAAAAACCGGAGGCAGCGTGAACCACAACAACAATAACATTGAATAAATAAGAGAGTCAGCCTAGTAGAGGCTACGTAAGAGAGTGAGCGTTAACTGTAGTTTTGTAATTGTTGTTGCCGTCGCCTTTGTTGCTGACTCTGTACAAACAACATGTATAGCAATTATGATTATAATATAACGGCATTTGGAGCAAAAGGCAAAGCGTAAAGCACAAAAATGTAAATGTGTGAATGGAAGGAAATGGAGAGAGGGACAAGCGGTGAGAACAGAGAGCTCAGCTTAGCCGTAAGTCGTCTGGATGCTGCTGGCCTTAGTGGTCGCATTTGTTGTTGTAGTTTTTGTTAATTGCTGGGTCTTGTTTTGTGCTCATTATTATTGGATTTTTTTCTAGTTGTGTTTTTTTTTTGGAAAACACTTTTTTTAATGTTTTTGAGCGATCAGCCCAGCCCAGCCCAGCAGCCGTAACAGTTTGTGTAAAAAACGCGCTCGACACGGTACGTTCGACGCTCCAAGCGGAGGAGCAGAAGTCGCGCAGTGAATCAACGCCACAAAAACTACAGTTGTTTGTATATTCACAATTAAAGTATAAAATTGAATTGCGTAAATTCTCAAGCATGACCAAAAAGAACAAAGCAAAGGATAAGGATAGGGATAAAAGTTTGAGCTTGTCACGATTGCCGGTACCTAATTTATTAGCAAACGCTGCCAAAATGAAAATCACTACAGCCTTGGCGAATGCCAAAACACAACAAGCGAAGGCAGGACAGATCAATTGCGGTATAATGCGTGCCAGCAGCAGCGGCAACAATAACAACAACAGTGCTGCAGCCACAATAACAACAAATGAAAAAGCAACAGGATCAAACGCGTGCAGCCAACCGCAACAGGCAACGAAAGAGACGGCAATAATAGCAGAGGCCGCAGTCGTAGCTACAGAAGTGGTGGTTGCAGCGGCCGACGCAGACACAACAACAACGACAACAACAAGCATTGAACGCTTCGACGGCGGCGCACAGGAGACCGAGAACCTCGTTGACGCGCACAAGCAACCAGCTCTCACATCAGTTGTCAGCGAAACAGCAAAGCAAACGGTTACCACACAAGCCGCAAGCGCGGTCGTAGTAACAACAACAACGGCAAAAACAGTGGCTAGAAAACAGGCGGTAGACGAAACATCGCCTTCGCCTTTATTGTCGTCGTCGTCGTCGTTGGCTGGCGATAAATATTACAAAATTGTTGATAAGTGCAAAAGTGAGATAAGTGATGAAAACATAGAAACACCCACAACAATAACAACAGTAACAGCAACAGATTTGCCGGTTGCAGTGATAAATAATAATCAGCAAAACGACGCGCCAAATAATAACAATAACAATAGTAATAGTAGTGAGTGTTGTGTTGACAAAATTAAATGTGAAGAAGTCGAACAAGAACAAGAAGTTAAAGCAGCGACAATAACACGCACTGCCAATGAGCTGCCGTTGCATTATCGTGGCATAAACAATTCTGTTATTATAGCAAATTATGCCCATCAACAACATCAGCAGCATCAAAACCATCAGCAGCAGGAGCAGCAGCAGCAGCAGGAGCACGCGCAGAATCAACGACATCAAGAACAGCTAGAAATTTTCGATCAACACAATTATTTGCGGCAGCAACAATTGCTATTACAACAGCAACAACAGCAGCAGCAACAAGAATTGCAACAACAACAACAGCAGCAGCAGCAGCAGCAACAACAGCAACAGCATTGGCTTGTTTATAACGACTGCGCGTACGATCTGTCAGTGCAGCAACAAGCCGTAGCTAACTCGCAAGCCGTGGCCTTGGTAGCATCGCAACATTTTCTGGGCCATCACTTGCCCTATCATTACGACAGCACTACGGATCCCATAATGCGCAACAACTTTGTTCTATATAACGCCTATGGAGCTGCGGGGGCCGCGCCCACCTCGCTTACCCACGACCAGCATCTGCAGCAGCATGTGCTGGCCGTCAGTAGTACAGCGAATTCGGTCATAACGCACACATCGCCGAACATCGATGAGGTTATACAGGATACCCTTAAGGGCGAATGCTTCGATGACAATCACACATCGAGCTACCATATGTTGACATCAGTGTCCGACCTGCACGCAGTAAAAGAAGCCAATGCCACTATTTATCACATGCCCCACGAGCACTTGCTGCAGCAACATCAACAGCAGCAACATCACAACAATTCGACCAGTTCCGTGGGTGGTGACTCCCCCACACCGCATGCTCTATCCCATAACAGTGACGTCGCCACCTTACAGAGCTTCACCCAACTGACCAGTGCAGCGACCTCCTCATTGCATCGAAGCAGCTATGGCAGTCTGACACCGGAGCATTCATCGTACTTCCCGCTGAGTCCAGTTTTACAGAGCAGGTGAGTCGAGGGTCCTAAGAGGCTCATATTTGATCTAAGCTTAGACCAGAAGCAATGTGCAATTTCAAAACATGTAACCTGCTCCGAAAATTGGCAAGAAATAAATTTCTTTTTGTTGCACCTTAATAAACATACTTCTATTACAACTATATAGAGTAGGGTATTTTACAAATTTCGGCTATTAACTTATTCATTTTTATTTTTCATTTTTGGTTAATTTTAAAGGTTATAGAATTCATCTTTTTTGTTTTGTCTCTATTTGCTTTGAAATATAATGTTGCATAAATATTAAATATCTAAGATATTTACTTGTAAATCAATGTGTTTTCACAGACCAGATTTTGTGGCACATATTTGAGATACCCTTTCATGCATTATTTTAATCCCTCTAAGGCTCTCTCATTATAGGGCTCTATTCGGGAATTTGAAGAGTGGGAACACTATGGACATTAAGTCGAAGTGTTCCGTGAAAATCACGACGTTAAACACAATAATTTAAGAACCACCTGACGCGTTTTATGCACGTGCCTTTCAACGAAAAACTTTAGAGTCGTTTCGCTGTGTTGCCGCTTGACGCTCGACGTCTATGCCAACAGACGATCGCTGCACTCACAAAAGTCATGATCGGTGCTGATCGCAGGGCGTTCAGTTTCTGATTCATGATTGACTTTGATTTTTGTTACTTTCTTGTTTTCTTGTTTTTTGTTCGCTCGATTCTGTCATAATAATAAAAAGTGGCGCCGCAAAACAAAGCGAAAATAATGTGGCACTTTTCATATACGAGTATGTATACTTTGCGGTTCTAACATATGAAATACTATATATACTTGTATACTTTATTAGATATTGCTATATTATTTTGTAAGTAAATAAGGAACTCACTTATATGGAATACTAAAACGCTACTGTGTGTTGCTTATGCATTTTCCTGCTACATTCTCAGGTGGTTTTTCTATATGCATTCCAATATACGGCGCAAAAATAAATCTGTTTCATCTTTTTTTTTTTTTTTTTTTTTTTTGCGAGAGACCTGTACCTGGGGCTAGCTAAGGAATGTTTTAAACAAACACATTTGTTTTGTGGCTAGACGCTAGCAACTAACTAAGTAGGGGACGAGCTTTTAATATCTGTTGGCCCAAATGTGGGGTAGGTTTGGGCCCACACCCATACATACTTACGTTTGTATATAAATGAGCTGGAAATTGCTGGGTTTGTTTTTTATTCGCTAGTACGATCATGATTTTGTTTTTATTTTGAAGCACACAAACAAAATTGTCAATGAAGATGACGCGGTAACCAACTTCAGTATAGCTGATCCGTAAAAGAAAGCAAAATATACAAGTGATCCAATTTCATAAACAAGAGTTCTTGATGATTATTTTAAACATTCAGTTACGCTCATCATAATGCTGAGTCATAACTTGGGGGCATATTCTGGACTGGGAACTTCAATCTATGACGCTCCACATTTTCGCTGCAATGTTAAAGAGAATATTAGCACTCGACTTGGCTGAGCTGAACACATGTTGGACTTTAAGCAATTGGTTGACTAATAGGTGTACGCGTCACGTCCCATAAAATGTGGTCAAAATAGTGGCCCACGTCATGCTGGTTACACTGCCCAACTTGGCAGCACGTGTTAGTTTTTCTTGCTTTTTTCGGCCTCACACGTGCCACAACTGAAGCGTACTCCAAGCACATATAAGGGGGTGCCGGTGGCGCCCGCATCTACAGCATTTACAGCATTTAGGGACAATTTTCAGGAACCGCCTTGTCGCATCCGAATTGCCTAACATCGAAAATTAGCATAGAAAAGAGAGAATACAGCCAGAAACTGCAAACTGCAATTCAAGCGAATATTTCTAGCTTGTTTGTGTATTCGGTTTCAAATGTGTGAGCCGTTTCTCATATTCCTATGCGAGCTTTTACATACATACCTATGTATGCACATACATATGTATAGGCACATACCTACAAATTATATATGTATGTATGTTACACATACATAGGTACATTTATGTATGTCGACGCGCCACTCAAGCCCCCTAAATGACATACAAAACGTCGGGTATAGCCAAATGAAATACTTTTAACTCAACTTCAGGGTTGTTGAAACCTAATGTAGACCGAAACAGTGACGTACATACATATATGTATGTTTGTATATTCATACTATACGTACATATATGTCTGGTAATGTTACCTGGTGGACCCACAGAAGGGAGTACGTTTGCTCAAAATAGAAGTCGTGCTTTGCATAATTTATGGATTAGGCTTGTATTTCGACGCGCACCCTGAACACCTTTAATTCGATCTTCTAAAAGACGATCAGCTTGATATTTTGGGCACTTATGGACCTAGGGGCCAAAATCATAAATGTGGTATTCCTGAAAGTGATTTCAATTTAGTTTAGCTAAATCTGAAATAAATTTCAGCACATTATTTATAACTACTTCTGTATCGAACAGCTGACATATGAAATCAAAGTCCAAATCTTAACTTATTGTAGGAATAGTTCTGAAAAATTAAAAAATGAAATAATACATTCGAAAAGCTTAAAGTGTTAGAGGCAATAACAATGGGTTTTATTAGGTTTTTCATTTTTTTTCAAATCCTTCACTAGTTTCCTAAAATGTACTGTTTCAAATAAATAATAGGTTTTAAGACTGTCGGTAAATAGTTACTCTAATAACTCCTAGTAGCTAGTTATGTCGGTCATTCCGATCTACACATAAGTGAGTCGTAACTTAGATTTGCTTTAATTGCAGGAAAACTCCGCAAGTGGTTTCCCATACAATCTGATCGCTATTATTTGATAAGAAAATATTGATTGACTCGAGATTCGTTCTACAACTATAAAATGCTGAGAGAGAACAAACTTGAAAATTCGAATGTTAAGTTCGATTTGTAAACCATTCGCAGAAGCCTAGTTTTATATTTTTTTTCTTAAGAACTGATTTCTCCAGAAGTCGATTTTTTCATTGCTCTTGCATTTATCGGAACTTATAGCTGTGATGCCTCATTGCTTGATACACCCGCCATGGGTTGTTGGTCTCAGAAGCGGATGGAGTTCTCTGACGCGCGCGTGAATGTGACTTTTGAGAAATTTCAAGCACAGCTTAGCTGCAGAAACCAGAAGCAGATACAGACAAAAGACCGAAGCTCAAGTGTGTGAAAAACAAGAAGTCTTTGCAAAATACTCACCTGCAACAAACAACAACTAGCTTGAGATAAAACTATATCGTGCTTTTTTTAACGTTCAGCTCGACACTGCACTTCCTATATAAAATGGCACATAAATGTTGGTAATTCGTGAGACACCAGAATTATTGTCATACTTACTTTGTATTCTACTCGTATTGTTATCAATACAGAAACGTGCGTGTGAATCTTTCAAATTTATAAGTGATTATGGTCACAAATAAAAAGCTAGTTTCGCATAGATTGTCGGGGTTTTTTTTTTGTAGCAATTACAGATAACACTAAAAATATAAAAAACGAATACTACATTTTAATATAAGCTGATTTCAACCTGAATATATTTTTTATAGATAATTAATTTGATTGATATTTTTCCGCTTGAAGATTTTCATATTTACGATATTTGTATGCACATCTAATTAGAGACTACCATCCAAATTACCATAAACAAATTGTATTTAAACTGAAAAATAGTATTCTTTATTGTGAAGGTTCATTAAAATACATTTTATTTAGCACCCACAATTTTAATCCAATTACTATATGTAATTGCATAGTGTTTTTTCCTCCCATGTTCCTCATAGATCTTCAAGAAGATATTATAACCTATAACCTGTATTTGAAATAAGATATGTTTGAGCTATATCTCACTTGTGTGCAACAAAAATCTTGTAAAAACGGTATCGTCCAAGCGGGCTTTCTTAATTTATCAAATAGCCAGAAGTTGAACGGAGCGTAATCAGACGAATACAGTGGTTGCGGAACGATATGTGTCTTGTTTTTGTTCTTGTCACAAAGATCGAGTGCGGTGGTGTAATTGTTTTTGGAAGCAAACGTGATTTCACTTGAATGAGGCACAAAAATGATCTTAAAATGGTGTTGATCCATTCGAAATGCCAACAGCGTCAGTCAATCCACGATTTTCGAGCTCAAATTCTTTGAATTGCTGTTCATCAGGTACTGATTGTTGGTTGTTTTGGATGTGGTTCATCCTCATCGCCTTCTTGATGTTTTTTTTAACAGTTTATGGCATTTATACACAGGGATTCTTGACATAGTCGAAATTTTTAAAAATTCGATTCTTTACACAGCATTTAATCGCTATTTTAATATTTATTTATTTTTTCTACAAATTCTTAAATTCGGCAGTCACTTTTAGATTTTCACAAAACACAAGCCCACATATGTGCTGTTAATTTAAGGATCAAAAGATTTGTCCCTAACAAAACACCCGCTCGATTTTGGAGCATATTTCCGTATGCTTTTTGTACGTACTGCAAAATTATGATAATTCTTGTAATACTAGATCACCTAACTTTTATAAAGTTTTATAAACTCAGAATAGTTCCATATTCTTCTACCATTTGACTAGTAAATAAGAGTTGTACACTGGCCGACCTAAAATAGGGTTCGCTGGCTGTTGAGTGCTTTCAGATAACGCCCACTTAAGGGTCCCTAGGGCTCCAGGCTTTTGTTTTCAATTGTGGTGTATTTTTCAACAGTCTTATTATTATAGTATTTCCATTTTCGGACGCCAACAATTTTCTTTATTTGGAACACATCCGCATCGTTTTCCAATAATACATGTACTTATGTGTTATAGTGTAAGCCCATTTACCTGTGCGTGTATGTGTGTGCTTCTGTATGTGTGTTTATATGCAGTTTTGTGAACATCTTGTTAAGATTTTTTGCACAGTCCACTACTACTTACGATACTGTCGCTGCTGCTGCTGCTGCTGCTGTCGCTGCAACTGCAACTGCGCCAGAAAGTGTCGCTGCCGCCGCGACTGTATTGACAATTTAACTAAACTCGACTGAAGTCATTATGCAAACGCGAGTGCCTCGTCTCGGTTGTTGTTTCGTCTGTCAAGTTTTGCTTAAAATTTTGTGCATTATTCGTTTTTCGTTATTCGCTTAGCCCTGGGGGCCGTCGAATGTTGCATTTTCTCGCCTTAGTCACCTGCCGCGTGTGGCCGTTAATTGAGTTTTTGTGCGATTTGGAGCGCGAGTGCCTTGTTTTTAAAACACCAGCATCAGAAAGCCAATAATAATAATTGTATTTAAATGAACAAAACACATAAAGAGGGTTGTAAATGACAATAGAAAATATATGTATTTATTGAGTTTCGATTGTTTTTGTGAACGAACTTCTGTGAAGGACTATACGAGTACAGAACATAATAAAATGATTACTTAATGCAAGTGTTGTAGTGTAACTTTATTAAAATTAAATACAACTATACGAGATGATTAGATCCTGTGTAGTAGTGAAATGTTTAACAAAATAGTGAACACAATAAAATAGTGCGCTTGTTTCTGTAACCTATAATAGGCTTTAAAAATGCATATAGTATGCCCAAAATTCTCCCATGAAATCCTTAATTATAGTAAGGGTGATTCAGAATTTGTTGTTGAAGGACTTGTTGCAATCAATCTTTATTTTAAAGTTCATTACTCTTTCAGAAAATGCCCTTTTCTTTCGCAACTGAACTTTTAATATGAGGATCTACGGAACCATTTAGTAAATGATTATTTAAATTTGTTATTCAAATAAATAAATATTTATTGTAACTTTCCATAGGCAAAACCAACTAATAATTTGCATTTTTCGTAACATAAGTAAACACACACTCACACTATATATCTTTTACAAGGGCAGTTATAAACACGCTAAGCACGAGCCTTCACATAAAACGATGGTCTGCAAAAGCTGGCACAGTCCCTTAAGAGCACGAGGCCCTAACATAAACAATACTGCGAAATGTTAATATCAGTTTTGAATTACAATAACGACTTAAAAAGGAATACGTACCAATAAGACCGAACGTGACTAAACAAACAAAATAATAATAAGAACCACAAGGAACGCGACAAACCCAATAAAAGCAGATTCCTTTTGAGAATATGTACAAATCAATAGACAATATGTTTTTCTCAAATTATAATAATATGTATTTGAAAAATTATTGCTATAGGTACGTACCCATTGAGTGTTTAAGTTTGGGTAATGTTCAATTTTTTAATAAAAAGCATTTAGATATTGGTAATGAAAGCACTTAGATATAGTATAATTCTTAAAACTATGCTTTAGAGCCATATGCGATCACATAAATATTGTGTCCTAAAGCGTAAGCTTTTTAAATGCTCAAATGTTTTCTTTCGGATTGGCATCCGGATTCATTCTCTTGTTTTTACTAGAAATTGTCTTTTGGCTTTTTGATAAATTTCCAGCATCTTTGGGGCATTCATTTGGTCAGTGAACATGTGCAAGGGGGCTTTATTGGATTAGTCTAGGACCGTTGTATGGTCCCAAAACTACAAAGATTCGGAAAACTCAGCATTACTCCAGTCGTCGTTGATATTCTCTTGAGACAAGATTAAAAGCTATCTTTTTTGTTTCTTTAAACCTCTATATGGTACTTTGTACTGCATGAGAAGAGAGGAACCCTGCCCAAAAAAAAACCTAGAAAGCCTGTTTATATGTCAAAAGCATAGCATAGAGTTCAACTTTGTTCTGAAAGTAGCTATGGCAAAAGCTGTAGCTAAATGTATAAAGAAGTTACGTTGATCGTGTGATCTCAAATCGCAAGCAATTTTAAATTATCTGTTGATATTAAAAATCGGTTTTTAATGTTTTTGCATTCAAAAAACCCTAAAAAATAAATCAAATACACGTATGTCTGCATTTGTAGATCAGTTTCGATCAAATAAAACTTACAGCCAACATGTTTGGTTAAAAGGTTTAATTAGGGTTAACAAATACACAATTTCCATCATATTAGTATAAAAAGTTCTACTGCTAACTGCTTTCTTTTCGAGTGTGAATGTGTAAATTGTATACAGATGTATCCATAGTTTAGGAATTCACTCTCTTAGAGCTCACCTCACCATTCGTTCTTCTTCACCTGCAGCTCAGTCTATGCCGGACCTTTGCTCACATCGGCCAGCAATGGCATGCAGTATGGCATGCAATCGGCGGCGTCACCCACCAACACACATGGCCATTTGCATCAGGAGCACCAGCACCAACACCAGCACCACCATCAGCAGCAACAGCATCAGCATCACAACTCCACGTCGAGTAGTCCTGGACCGGTAGGACTGTTGCACTCCAGCTCGTCGGCTGCCACAGTAGCGGCGGTTGCTGCAGCCACGGCTGCGGTCAGCGGGCACAGTGGACTGGGGAATCTGGAGCTAGACGATGACTATGGTTCACCAAAGAGTGGACACAGCAGCGGGGGCGGCACTCTGCCCGCCTTCCAGCGCATTGCATCGGCTAGTTATGGCAGTGGCGGCGGCACCGGCGTTGCAAATGGGACGGGCAGTGGCGCCGAACGCTCTGGCTATGCATCATTGACAAATTACCGCACACATGTAAGTCACGGGAGGGGAACCTTTTAACTTTGCGAGCTGCTTGACTAGCATTTATTCCAACTTCTCTTTTCTTTCTTCTTCGCACTCGTCTCCGTCCTCTCCGTCTCCTCCTCTTTGGCAATTACAGAACGACTCTTGGTCTTCTTACGAGCCAATTAGCTACGCAACAAATGCAACCGGCCAGAGCCAGCTGGGCGGCCTGAGTGGTGGAGCAGCGACAAATGTTATACGGAATGGTCGTGTCATGGCTGCTGTTGCGGCCGCAGCTACCGCCGCTGGCATTGGGGAGACGAGTCCGGGGGTCAGTCCAGCCGAGTCGGCGCGTTTTCTCGCCTCGACTGCCCATCTCTCGGCCTCGGCTTCGCTATCAGCAAGTAAGTTTTGGACATCAACACTTACGCTCTAAGGCTGGGCCTTTCACATACTAGTAGTTCAGGGCTAGAGTTCACAGGATTCCCACTTACTGAGGGAGTTGTGGGGGTTAGCTAGACGGGCTCTGAAAATGTGGAAAGAGTTTGGAAAAATGTAGTTGAATCAGAATAAGTTAGATGAAATTTAATGCACAAATAAATGAGCAGTTCACTTGGGAAGAACAATCTGAGCTTTGTTATCTAATTCCTTATTCTAATTATTGTATATAGGCGTTAGAATCGTAACAGACTTTATAAACAATTAACGCCAGAGCAACGAACTGGTTCGAACTGAGAGACCACAACTCTGGGGGTACATTTTCTTTCAAATCGCAGACATTTTGTAAATAAACACTTAAAAGAAAGTATCCTTTAAACCACAACGGCTCTGACACACACACGCATTCTGTAGAGTGTGAATTCTGTCTGCCGTGTGGCCACAGGTTGAACCCGGACTCACTATTACAATATTCTGTATTCAAAAGTAGGTAAGATTTCACACTCAAACAGATGCCAGACTATTTGCCAGATTCTTTGCACAGCCTATGCAAACTTTTACTTTGAAATGCAAATGTGGCCAACTGGTGGCACTTTTTTTCAGACCAAAGCCGACAAATACTCGTGGTTCCTTTCGAAATTGGACAAACGCCTTTCAGCGTAGGTTACTAGGTTATATTTTTTTATAAACAAATGTGGCCTTGAACACATTTGGTCAGAGTTTTGTAAATGTTCTATTCAGAATTTAGTCAAGACCAAGAAATATTGTACAACATGCCTATACCCTAAACATACCATATAATAAATTCAATTAATTTTTACAAGTTCCTAAAACTATACAAAAAATATATAAACAAAATTAGACAAATACACAAACAAAAACCAAACAAAACAACATCAAACAAAACTTTTGCAAAACAAAAATGATAGAAAGCCTTTACTAAAGTTTTGCTAAACACAACTTAAACTAAAACAAAACATTTAAAAATGCAAATACAAATACAAAATACAAACTTTAAACGATTTTATAAATTTTGAAGCATATATCGATGCCAATTTTTTCACTGAGGGGCGAGAATGTGTCAATTGTGGTGCGATTTCAACCCCATTGTGGCGACGTGATAACACCGGACACTATTTATGCAATGCCTGCGGCTTATACCATAAAATGAACGGCATGAATCGACCCTTAATAAAACAACCTAGAAGATTGGTAAATGTCAACAGCAACAACAGCATCAATTAATTACTAACTAACATCAAAACCACAACAATTACAAAAAAAACAAAAACAAAACAAATCAATACAAAAACAACAACAACTTTTCTGTTTACGAACGTTGGAACAAAATTTTTTTCTTGTAAATTGCAAAATTCTCTTAAATAGCTAACGAATCCAAAACCCTTATAGAAATCCGCCAGCCAGCCTGCAATTGCGTGCAACGTTCTCGCTTCATAAATTGAACAATAAAGAAAGAATTGAAAAGATATGTATGAAAGTAAAAGTAAAGACAGCCCTCAAATACAAAAAGAGAGAAAATTAATTGAATTTATTATAAATCGAGTATTATAGCATTCTACCAAGCAACTGCTCAGTCTGTTAAATGCCTAAAATGCCTAAACCATGATCTATCCGATCGTGGCATAGAGTTGAAAGTGAAACGAATCGCAACTAATCGAATCGAATCGAAACGAAACGAAAAAGAAAACTTTTTTTCCTTCATTACAACAAATAATAATTGCATAATTACAGTGGCCGCTGAATCAGGCGGGGATTTCTATAAGAACTACACATATAATGTCACCGGCGGAAGCCGTAGTAAGGCCTCGGCAAATGTGTCAAGTACCGTTGGTGCGGCAACAACAACCGCAGGCGTGACTGCAACGGCGGCAGCCACAACGCTCGAGGAGCACGTTAGTCGCGCCAATTCGAGACGCTTGGTAGGTCGTCCATTAATTAAAATAAAACAACCACAACAACAACAACAACAACGCCTTACTAATATTGCTAAAAAGCATTGCATTTCGCCAATGCTGTGTTAGATGTTACAAAAGAATGCCAAGCGCCTAGTAAATGATAATTATACTTGTAATTAATGTAAGATGATTCGATGATTGAAGCGCAAATTAAAATTAAAGTTGAATGAAGTAATCAATAAGCTAGCCTGCTAACTAACCATTTGATATTTTTAGTCAATTAATCGATAGTGCTATAATAACTCTAGTCTTAATTCCCATCTAACATATATGAATCTTCAATGCGCTTTGGATAACTGAAGTAAATTTGGAAACTTTTTGAAGAGCTCTTAAAAAATTTTGTTCCACTTCGAATCACTCACACCTCTCTCTCTCTCTCACTCACACTCACACACACACACATACTCATACACATACTCACACACACTCACACTGATGCCCGACTAATTAAGTACTAACAATTGCAATTTGTTGTTCCGGCAGAGTGCCTCGCGAAGATCAGGATTGGTGTGTTCGAACTGCGGAACGAGTTATACATCGCTCTGGCGTCGCAATCCGGGCGGAGAGCCGGTCTGCAATGCCTGTGGTCTGTACTTTAAGCTCCACAATGTGCCTCGTCCACTGACCATGAAAAAGGATACCATACAGGTGAGTGTTACTCGCACATCTACTTGTATATCCAAAGTCAAGTCGAATTGATTGACGGTTTTCGGTTCCGATAGAAACGCAAACGGAAGCCGAAGGGCACCAAGAGCGAAAAGTCCAAGAAGAGTCAGGCAAATGCTGCCGCCAACAATTGCCATAATGTCAATATGGTCAACAGCCTGGCCGATGCCACTGATGGTAAGTTCCGAGAGAACACTCGCATTGGTATTCTCATCGATTTATCTACAATTATTAAACGCATGCCTAATTCGTTTTGTGTTTTTGTCTGCTTTCTTCCCCCCTCCGCCCTCCCACGATCATCATGTGTGTGTCGGAATGCCGCTCATTTAGAATTGAAAGCACTCACATATATGACATACGCACAACAACAACAACAACAACAACAGCAACCACAACAACAGCAAACTGCATCCACACTAAGCAATAATGATCATATATCGGTGGCCAGTCCGCCAGCCACACCACACAGCATGACATCCTCATTATCGCCATCAAGCACATCACAACAACAACAACAGCAGCAGCAACAACAACAATACGTTGGACTGAACATGTCACCAACATTGCAGCAAGAGAACATGTCGCCCACATCTACATTGCAACAGCAACAACAACAACAACAGCATCACCAGCATAATTATCAAATGCAAATCTCGCCCATTAACATGCAACATTGCAGCATGCAACATTCACCAACAACTCCAACAACAACACCAACCATTCCACAATCTATGTACACCGCTTCACCGCCCACCCACATTCACAACAATAACATACTCTTTAACAACAACAATAACAACAATAACAACAACAACAATGACAATAACAACAAGTTGATTCAGAAATATCTACAAGCTCAACAATTGAGCAACACGAGCGAGACATCACCGACGCATCAGCAGCAGCAGCAGCAGCAGCAGCAGCAGCAGGAGCAACAACAACAGCTGAGCCCAACATCATTGGCACAACAGCAACATATAAGCCTGATGCAGCCAGTCTCGGCCTCCAATATGGCAATCAAATCGGAAGTAGTGGCAACAACAGCAACGGCATCAGCAACATCGAAGCAAACAACAACAGCAACATCAACACCGACCACGGCATCGAGCACATCATCGTCACTGAGCATCAACAGCAACAGCAACAGCAACAGCATCAGGAGCAGCGGCAACAACAACAACAACAACAACAGCAGCAGCATTATCAATCTGCAAAATCCGTATCAGCAAGCTCTTGGCCAAACGATGCCCTTGTGTAAGTCAGCGCTGGACGCTCGATCCTCAGCATCCCCACCCTATTATTTAAGCCAGCACATGTCCGAGGACGAGGCGACAGCGCCGGCCATCATAAAAATGGAGCAATTGGAGCACCACCATCACAATCCCCATCACCATTCTCAGCAGCAGCAGCACCAGCAACAACAACAGCAATCAAACGAACAGTTGGACTCTTTGGATGATCACGAGCATGATCCGTACGAGTTGGCAGCATATCAATTGCAGCGGCAACAGCATCAGCAGCTGCAACTGCTGCAGCAGCACAACGTGCAACAGCATGTGGCCGCCCTGGGCCATCATGAATCGAATGTCGCCACAATTGCGATGCATGCCATGGCGCAGCATCATTTGCAGGAGTTCGAGCGCAAATATGGTGCCGTTGATCGCGAGACAATTGTAAAAATGGAATAGGGCCAGAATATGAGTGGAGTAAGAAGTAAGAGTTCAAGAATTTCCTCACCAAAGACTTTGCTATTGAAATCTCACAGCTCCAAAGAAATTTTACAAGTATATACGAGTACATACATAAATAATATGCCGTTATAATTGCGTATACTAAACGTTCTCTAAGAACTTGCTCAACGCGCCTTTCACATACTATGTTTTAGCCATAAGCCTCACTAAAAAATTAAAGCAAGAAACAACGAAATTGGCCAATAACTTACATTTAAAAAAAAAACTCAAAAACAACAAAAAAATTATACATCTACCACGAAAATGCCAACTACTCGAATATTGTTATTAAAAATTTAGTGTAATTTTAGCAAAATGTCTACATTATATTGTAAATTCATACTTGTAATTCGGAATCATACCGTGAGGTATGTACACACACACACACACATGCACACAAACATATACATATGCGGGAAAGTGTATGTGTGGCTTATTTGTAGAAACTTTTGAGATTTTTTTATAAAAATGAATTTGTTTTAGAATAAGTATTAATACTACATACCTACACATAACTATGCATATACACATACACACATACATAAAAGTTATCAACCACCAACCAAACAATCTCATGCAATTTAGTTACTAGTTTATACTTTATAGTTAGAGCCACTTGCATATTACCTTGCAATAATAATTCTATTACTTTGAACAAATAAATAATATGCCACAAACAGAAGCTAAACTCGTACAGCCCCAAAGGCAGGGTGTGCACCACACAATGCCCATTTATATTTCAAGGTGGAACTTGGGGTTTGTACAAGTAAGTACATGAGTTTTAGGGTAGGTTCAGATGGCCCGAAGAGGGGCCGCTAGAACCCCCTTGGTTTTTATTGGGCTCAATGAATTCAGCTAAGTTCACAATAAGCCTGAGCCTCCTAAGTGCTGGGCATCATCTTCACAACTTCTGAGAAACCATTAGCCGGGATGCCAAAACTGGCAGAGTGTCATCTTACCGCACAAAGGCCTGTAAGAGTGACCAAATCAGTCTAGCTCGAACACACATACCAACACCATGTTCTAATACTGTCATGTTGAAGGGAAGGGACGGATAAAGTATTGTTATAATAAGTAGCTGTAAACAAAATCTTAGGAGCCGATACAGCCTGGAATTTTTAGTTGAAATTTGGATCGAAAGCAGTTGATACTAAGGGATTAATGTTGTTTATTCCAGAAAAAATTTATAAAATTATCTTAAGTCTAATGCGTTGTTTTAAAATATTAACTAGCAGTACGTGTATCTATGAGTTTGAATATCTTTGAATACCAAATTAATACCTACTTGTATATTGAAAGAAATATTGAAAGTTTTACTTAGGAATATGTCCAAATTTATGCAAGAAGTAATTGTTGTGGTCACATTTCGGCCATTTCCAGCCACCGGGACTTTGAGTGCAACGAGATGGCGGACACTCTGGCAGGAAGGAACAGAGCTAGCCTAGAGGGACACGAAACATATGTACATATATCTATATCACTTTGAGGGCTTCTCAGCAGATGGGGGGGAAAAGGATCGGATGAAAACTGTTGAGTGGTGGGAAAACACTGCCAACTGCAAAGTCGCACGCACAATATGCAAGGGTGGAGCCAAAAACTCGCCCAATTTCTCCTGCAACTCCAGAGAAAGGCCTACTCACTGGACACTGTCTATCTAGTAGCTGTTCATGGCAAGAATATGGGCATTACATTACGACGACCGACAACAATGACCGAAGAAATGCAAGGATGGAAACGCTAGAATAGCTGAATTCGATTGCAATTGTTGGCACTAGTATACATTAATTTAAAATTTATTCGGCATTTGTTTAAAAAATAGAATTAGGAACTGGTGATTGATATTTTCAAATTTAATTATTTTGTAGCATACTTTTAGGGATGATTTCGATTGTTTTCTCCTTATGGTAGAGTAACTTACCATTCACTTGACAGTGGTGGGTAAGTATACATGGCACAGGGCGACTCAAGGAGCAGTAACTCTAAAATGAAGCATATTTTTGGGGATACAGTGAAATATCAAACAAAAAAAGGAAAAAAAGCAAATAATAAACCAGAAAATCCCACTGGCTTATAAGTACAGAATTAGCTAGCCATCTAGCCTGGATATAAAAACAGGAAACCAAAGTCCAATAAATGTAATGTAATTATGTCAGAATTTGTTAATTAGGAGTATAAATGTCTTTTAAGCTTGCAAGTTGTCCTACATATGTACATATTTCATAAGATAAAGAAAAAAGGAAAGTTGCACAAAATTTTGTATTATTTTTATTGATATTTTGAGAGTACTTTGATTAAGCGTTTCATATGAATCAAGCAGGGTTTAATGTAAAAATACACATGTATTTAATTACAATAAAGAAATATTCGATTTGTATAATTTTATGGCTAATTATTGTTTTTTTTTTAATATTTTAAAGTCAATATTCAGAACACGGGCTTAAGAAATAAAATAGCTACTTACGCAGACGACACTGCGGTGCTTACCAGAAGCAGAGATATCGATGTAGCTTCGGAAGCCTTACAGCAGTATGTAAGTAGTTTCGAGAAGTGGGCTCTGAATTGGAACATTGGTATCAACGCCAGCAAGTGTGCGAATGTCACATTTACAACAAGGCCGTCGTCATGCAGAGATATCACAATGTTGGGGTCCACGCTCAGTCATACAAATTCGCACAAATATCTTGGTGTCATTCTGGACAGAAGACTCAACTTCAGCAAGCATACAACAATGGTCAAGCGATCGGTCATGGCAAAAGCCGGAAAGATGGCATGGCTGCTTGCACCATGCAACAAGCTGTCTCTGCACAGTAAGGTGACAGTATACAAATCCATATTAAGTCCAATATGGAAGTATGCGCTACCAATTTATGGCATTGCCGCTGCTTCAAACCTAAACAAAATAAGAGTTGCGCAAGCTAAAATACTCAGAAAAATATGCAACGCTCCCTGGTATATGCGCACTAGGGACATCGAAAGAGACTTATGTGTCCCCAAGGTTGGCGATGTCATTCAAATGCACGCAAGCAATTACGAGAAGCGACTCGGCAGTCACCCCAACGCACTAGCGAGGCGGCTCCTGTCCAAACCTAAGAAGAGAAGATTGAAGAAGTGCCATCCAAAGGATCTCCCCACAAGATCCCTTGTATAAAATATATAATATATATCATAAAATATAATTTCATTTCTAATGTAAAACATTGTAAATATTGTATATATGTACATAGATATAAGTGCGTCCTATAGATGCTTACTATAGACAACTTTTGTATTCCCAAACTTTCAACTAGCTTAAGCTGCCATATTGGTAGTAGAAAACTAGTTTAATAAATTATATATACATTTTTTACAAAAAAAAAAAAAAAAAAGAAATAAAAGTGTTCATAAGTTGCCGTTTTTAAATTATTGGAGCAGATAAAAATACGGAGGGACGGTGTGGAATGGTTTATTGATGATACGCACAGATTAAGTCTAATATACATTAAAGTCGAATAAATAATCTATCTTTTTAGCCGCTTTAATATTTTATAGTATTACCACGCTGTTTGTAAAATACGACTATTGCTTTTGAAAGTGTCTAAGGCTACGAACACATATAAAAATTGTATTTTTCTAACAAAACCATATTTAAAACATATTTTTAAAATCCCATACTCTTTGTGATTAGCCTTTTTGAATAAAATATATCGCTGATTTTCCAAAAATGCAAAATCTTGCTGCTTGGCAAACCAATTGCTCTGTGCATCTCAACAACAAGCTTAACAAATAAGGCTAAGGGTGTACTTGGATTAATATGAAATTAAATTATCTCTTTCCTCTAGACCAGCTAGAAATTATTCATTATTTATCTGGTGTAGAATCGCAACTGACTACACTTTTCACAAAAATTTTTGGGATATGTGTTCAGAATATAATGATCTCTCTCACTTATTATTAACATACCTCACCATCTACTGATTAAAAACCTCTCTCTATAATAATCTTTGAGTCGAAGGCGTTAATAGACACTTATGTACATTTATTAGAATATTTTAGATTTTTATTTTAAATGTCATTTTTAAAAATATTGTATTGTCGATAAATAAATGAAATATAGAGCAATTAATTAAGCTGTGGAAACTTTGCTGAGAATACCTTCAGCAGTCAATGAAGATTTTATTTCAGAATGAATAATGAAACATTTCTTTTCTTGAAATATCTAAGGGCTTTCATGCATTTGCATTTCATGCCCCAGTCATCAATTCAAAGTCAAAGGACGTCGAGCTTGGTTAGAGGATACTGTAATAAGATTTTTTCTTTATTATCATTGTTGATTTTAAACAACTCTAAAATAAAAAGAATAGGCTCTTTGATTGTTCGTAATACATTTTCGACGGAAAACTTATCAATAGTTTTAAAATTTCAAAGTTTTCCGGTAATCTTAAATTTAAGAATACATAATTTTTATATTGAGGTATAAACAACAGCAATTCCCATAACTTTGTTTGTTGTTAATTAATTCGGTAACAAAATCTGTGCAATTCAATCGGATATTATTTTCACTGATATCATCGATCTTATCCCTTTTTATATGCATTTCAAAATCCTCTGCAAAATGCCTAATTCGACATCGGGCGTAATAATTTTGGATTTAAGTTTTTAAATATTATTTACACAAACTCCAGCTTTAAAAAAATGCTGAATAATGCCAAGTCAGCCCAAAAAAAGGATGGATTTCCTGATAGGGGCTGTTTGATATTTTTTCAGGCTGAAGCAATTTTAAAAGGACAGATCTATCTGGAAAAAGTCTGAAATGGCAACACTGCTTGTTAGGTATATCTTTTAATTACATAATGTCAAAATTGCATGACAATCGGATGAATAGGAGCCGAAATATCTCATACAAATTATAAACTATAATAACAAATTCTGATTAGAACCCAACGTTCGAAAAATATCAAGAAGGAGTAATAAAAGACCAACAATTCGAATCGAAGTACCCACAAGAAAACACCAAAAAGAAGTCGTTTGCAGTGTTCAAAAATCAAAACAATATTGATTTATTTGTACCATTAGAAGGGATTTATTCATCGGAATTTTTCTGTGTTTAATGTTAGTGTTTTGTAGGTATTGTTCGCATTCACCGTAGTCGACGCTTCCGAACTGGAAGCCCTTACTTGTAACACTATTCTGTAGGACATTCCGACGGCTTTAACCATTCGTTTAAATACTTTTTTGACGTTGCAAAACGTTGTGTTGAGTTGAAAGATGATTATTTTGCCAAAGTGTCTATTATGTGTTCTTAGTTTTAAAATGTCCTGCTCACCACATCGTATATTAGCAATTGGCTGATAAAAGACAATCAGTATCTTAAATAATTGGTCAAAACTTCATCATGGGGTAATTAAGCCAATTGTAAAGAGTTGGTGTATATTTATTTCTGAGTATGAGATAAATGCGTGGGGTTCAAAAGGTACTAATCCTGAGGTTGTTTGGGCTTGATCGCAGCGGGCTATGTAAATCCCAAGCCCAGACTATTTATTTATTGTCCATCCGCAGATACGTAGACGTACAAATATTTAGTGAGTTTCTATTTTAGGCATTAATCATTACCAATTAGTCTGTGAAAATGGGGAAAGGCCTAAGTCCTAGTGACCTAGTGAAAAATTAAAGTGCAATCGAATTCGAATGCACTTCGAATGACGCATCTTC